ATGGGTGAGGAGGAGAGAGATGGGTGAGGAGGAGGGAGATGGGTGAGGAGGTGGAGATGGGTGGGGGGAAGGAAGATGGGTGAGGAGGAGAGAGATGGGTGAGGAGGAGGGAGATGGGTGAGGAGGAGGGAGACGGGTGAGGAGGAGGGAGATGGGTGAGGCAGGCTGTTAGTCGGGCTGCAGACGTGTGTACTGACGCTGTGATTGGTCGTGGGTGTGATCTCACCGTTAGAAATCCCCGACACGTAGACGTTGTCATTCCTCTGAGAGGCAGCAATGCATCCTGGGAAAAACACAGAGGCGACCAGAAATCATTTATCTAGAACGTGCAGCCTGAACTGATGCTAACGCTGCGCTAACAAAAGCTAACTGAGCTGGATCAATCAATCAAATCATCAGTGTTGCCTAAAAGCCACGAACAGCCTTCCGGTCAACTTAAAGGACGAGCCTGACGTCCAGAACCAGAGCTGCACCCACCCACATGTTCTCAGGTAGTAAATCAGTCACCAGCTCTTCTGACCATTCATTCGTCTCAATTCTGTGATTGCAGCTTCTTCAGTGTGAATGTTTTCTGGTGTCTTTCCTCCTCTGTGACAGTAAACCGAAGACCTTTGGGTCGTGGAATAAAGTAAGACGTTTGTCATCTAGATGGAAACACTGACCCACATGGTCCGCTGCTCCCTCACATTCTAACACAGCATTTAGTCTGTTTTTAATTCAGAAATTAGTTGTAGGTTTATTAAACATTTGAAAAGAAAACTGTTGTGTTCTATGTGGATCATACTTCATATTCTGTACATTAAACCAAACTTGTCACGTGATTTCAGATCCACTTTCTTTTCTGACAATCAAATGTCCACAGACGTGTTGGACAATGCTGCTGTTTCAGTTGCTCAACTGTAACTGGCTTCGGTCATGTTAATTATATGGAGCTGAATTATAAGAGCTTCCACAAATAAGCTACTCCTCTTCTGCTTTAGGTTAGGTTTAGGTAACACCACAAAGACGGGGCCCAATGGCTTCTTCATGAAGCTCGTAGGATTATATTTATGATTTATAATGTCATAAAAAGCTCTCACAGGCAGAGCAGGTGGCAGGTGTTCAGGTGAGCTGAGCTGATTTCCACTTTAGTAAAAGAAAAGCAGGAGCTTTGTAATAAGCTTCTAATAAAGAGGAAAGCTTCACCTTTAAAAGGATCTGCTGGAACTCTGGCAGTGACCCAGAGTAATGGGATCATTTAACCCTGAAGCCATCCGGACTCACCTGCCAGGATGAGCAGGTAGACCACACTGAGCCTGCAGCCTGGACTGAGGGCCATGCTAACCCGGCGGCTCGCTCTGATGAGATGATGGGGATGAAGAGTCCAAGGTCACTGCCCGGAGCGCTGCATGTCAGCCCGCAGAGAAACAAACCGATCTGTGCTTTAGCACTTTAGCATCTGCTGCACCGACAAACGCTGGAGGATAAAGCGCTGTGTCCGAACCTGCCTGCTAACTAAGCTAACAGCGGAGCTAACCTGCTCTCACATCAGAAACCGTCCGACGGAAACAAAGACATCTGAGTCCCGTTAGCTGCAGCTAACAGCTAGCGTTAGCTGCTAGCAGAACACCGAGTTGTTGAAGAAACCTCAGAAACTGTCTCCGCGGAGCGAACACGGAAATGCATAGTGTGAATAAATACACTTATCTGACTACAACATTAGGAGCAGGTAGCACTCAGGCTAACCCGCTGATACACTCATAAACCCGGCTAAGAGCCGGAGCTAACGAGGCTAATAACACTGGCCGTTTAGTCCGAACATGCTAACGGAGCTAAGCGGCCAGCCAGCCCGTCCTCCCCCGCAGCAGCGAGGACATAAAGCCCGGCGCAGGCGGCACCCGACCCGGGTCGGTCCGGGCTAATTAACACAACCGGGACAGACAGAGGTCAGCAGCGCGAGTGTCGCCCCGTGTGTCGGTCCGACCACATCCTCACGGTTCTGCCAGCTGTTAGCCGTTAGCCGTTAGCTTCAGCGTCGAACAACAACAGACCGCAGAGAGAGAGAGAGGCCCCGCCCCTCAGGGCACGTCACCGAGCAGCCGCACAAACACGTTTTATTTATTTATTTACCAGCACATCCGTTATTAGTTATTGTTTTAGTTTGTTATAAATAAATAGATTTAGGTGGTCATTTATAAGTAAATCAGTTTACAGAGTTACAAATAAATGAATAGGTTTTAATTTTATTTAGTTTGTAGTTATTTATAGATAAATAAGTAAATAATTTATTTCATATTAGTTATTCATTGACAAGTAAATAGATGTTTTATTAAGCTTGAGTTGTTTAAAGTTTTTTTGTAGGCTTAGTTTAGTTTTTGTCTCACAAGTGTCATTGAGCTGTAACTGACACAAACAAGCTGGAACAGCTTTTATTTATCAGTAAATATCCTGTTTACTGCTGATCACATGAACTGATCACTTCCATTATTGTTTTGTTACCTCGTTCTAAAACCACCCATGAACCAATCCACACAAACAAACAAAGAGATATTTGTTTGAGACGAAGGCTGCTCACATTTTTATTGTTGATTTATTATTATTTCATAACTGGCATGGTATCGGCTGATAATTCAAACCTGAAGCAGTCACATGTTCCTCCCAGTTCACACAAACATGTGGAGGCCTTGAGCTGCACACGTGTGAACGACACATGCAGAGTTTTCACAACAACAGCAGCACATCTGTCGTCCTCCAGCAGCTGGAGCGTCTCAGCTGTTCTATTGTTCCTTTATCTGGACTCAACCCCAGAACCACCCCAACAGCCCTCAGCCCCACTACTGCCCCACTACCCCCCTTACTGCCCCTCTAACCCCCTGCTGCCCCTGGATCACAGAACACGACCCCCACACTCAGTGAAAGTGTCCATCTGCTGCTGTTTTTCTGAAAGTCTCTCTGTGGACCAGAAACATGGAGGCGTTTGTGTTTAACTGTCAGAACAAAGCATCTTGGCTTCGGCCTGCAGCAGCAATGATCCCATTTTACTTCCTACAGAAGAAAACAGAGTCTGAAACAGAAACACACAGATTGAACTCCTGCTAAATGTCACTGACGACACGTGTTGATAGTTTAGTTCAGTAGGAAGAAGCTGCTGGAGGTGAAGGTGCCCTCCATGAAGAGAACAGATCCGAAGCAACATTCATCTCTTCAAGGTGACTCTACAACCAGTTGTGTGACACAGACGAAGCGTAGCTGCTGGACTTGTGGACCTTTTATTGTTGCTGCTGTATTTCAGTCAGAGAGTCTGAACGGAACCAGTCACAAAGACTTCAGGAGCTGAAACTGCAGAACATCATCCCATCATTAAAGTGATCACAGTGATTAATTAACCTCTGAGCTGCGTGTCAGACACTAACAGGCTGGATCAATCAATCATCCATTATTGATCACAGATGTAAACAATAGAAAACAATTGTTTTTATTCAGTTCTAAATTCAAACTTCAGACTTGATCAAACAGTTCATCAGTTGATTTAATTGATCAGGGTCATTGTTTCCTTTGTTTACACTTTGAAACTACCAGTGAAATGACAGAACCTGACAGAACCAAACAGAGCTGTGTGATAGAACATTATGCACCCTGGTCTCTTCAGAGCCGTTCCAGTGTTCTAAGAGGTTCTAAGACATCACAAAAAATGAGTTTTTATTGATCAGATAAACTTTATGCAAACAGTCTGTTGCTCATTGATCACAGGTCACATCAATATATTGATCAGACTGTCTCTCAGCAGGATGATCAGCGTCTTGTGTTTGTTCTGATTCACTGGTGTGAAACATAAAAGAAGACAGGTGATGCCACTCAGCTCCTCCAAGCACCAATCAGAGTCCAGATTTCTACTGTCAGTCAGAGATAGCTGCAGGTGGATCAGTGGTTAGCACCGTGGCCTCACAGCTAGAAGGTCGCCGGTTCGTGTCCCGGTGAGGACACCCGGGATCTTCCTGCGTGGAGTCTCCATGTTCTCCCCGTGCAGCGTGGGTTCTCTCCGGGTTCTCCGGCTTCCTCCCACAGTCCAGAAACATGCTGAGGTTAATTGGTGATTGTAAATTGTCCGTAGGTGTGAATGTGAGTGTGCTTGGTTGTCTGTCTCTAAGTGTAGCCCTGTGATAGACTGGTTACCTGTCCAGGTGAACCTGCCTTCACCCTGAGTCAGCTGGGATAGGCTCCGCCCCCCATGACCCTAGTGAGGATTAAGCGGTTTATAGATGATGGATGGATGTCAGTCAGAGAACACCTGGACAGCAACCAGCAGGAGGCATCACCCTGCAGCTACAGAGCAGCAGCTACCGCGGCGCTGCGGCTGCTGAAGACGATGAGGATGATGCTGAAGATGACGATGCCAAGGAGGACGATGAGGTTCCTGTGTATCTCTGCAGGAACCGGTCCAGGCTGTAGACAGTCCCCCAGCCGACAGCAGGATCCATACTGATGAAGTCATCCAGGTTCATGTGACTCTCTGAGGAGGAAACGCATCACAGCATTTTGACATCGTCAGCACACGGACACATGATACGTGTCATCAGACAGGTAGACTCACCTGTGGTGTGTATGGGGGGGTACGGCGGTGGGGGCATCTTCCAGGTTCCGTCAGGGTTTTTCATGTGAGAACGATCCGACGCAAAGTTCTGCAGGAAACTGTCAGCAGGAACCACACGCAACTTCCTGTCAGAGACACACGTACACTGTGATGTCACTTCCTCATGCACATGCTCACAGCAGCTCAGATGAGTGCTGCCCCCAATCCACCAATCCACATGTAACAGCCGTGAGGTGTTGCCTGCAGTACTCAGGTGTGTTACCTGTGGTACTCTGGTCTGATGTGGCAGTCGGAGCGGAAGGCCTTGGCGCCGTACACCTTCAGGTTGCAGGGAAACGGCAGCTCAGAGTCCAGATCGTAGATCAGAGCGTCGGACTGAAGCGCCACCTGCAGCAGAACCACGTGGTAGTCCTGAAACACAACGCCATCTTTAGTGATGTCATGATTACATCACAACTGAAACCATTCAGGAAACATGCAGTGACATCACCGACCCAGATCACTGGCTGGTCTCCACGTCCAGACTTCTGTTTCCAAAGAGGAACCTGATGAAGAACAAAGACAGAACATCGGCAGTGCTGAGGTTTTGGGGACAGAACATGTTGTGAGAACCTTACAGAACCTTACAGGTGTTTCATAGAACCTGCAGACTGTTTATGGAACCAACAGATATTATACAGAACCTTTAAGAGATGTTTGAAGAACCTTGCAGATGGTTTATAGGAGCAGCTGTTTAGAACCTGATGTTCCATCACCTTTATGTTCTTTTGTATGTTCTCACCATTCTGTTGTCATTAGAGACGAAAACAACGAACAGCTGTTCCAGCGGTCCGGTTCTCTTGGTTCTGACAAATTCACAGAGCTTCCAAACATTTTCTTCACTGCAAAGCGAGAACAAAGGAACTGTGAAGAACGTAGAACGAGCCGTATAAATGAAGTGTCAGTGCGGTTCTATTAGAACAGAACAATAGAAACGCCTGATCTAACAGCTGATTGGTTCAGATGCTGACCAACTATCTGAGGTTTGATCTGTTTTCTTGTTGACTGGAGGGACGGTGGTGCCAAACATTTTGATAATCAATGAATCATGTGATCATTTATTGATCAGATGTGCAGGTTTGGGAGACTTGGTTTGGACAACATTCTGCAAATGTTTGGGAAACATTCTCCAAATGCACATGCTGCAGGTCCAAGCTGTACTTCTTCAAGAAAAGTCTCCAAAACGAGAATCAGGGAACGTTTGCCGCAAACGTTTACAGAACGTCACCAGAACCTTGCACTGTTTGCTGGATGAAGGCAGTAACACTATTATTTATAGACAGCAGGCAGCCTGACAGCTGTTGTTCTGGTTCTGCAGTGTTCTAGGGAACGATCCTGAGCAGAACCTTCCTGTCACAAGCAGGACAGCAACACGAACAGTCTGGACGTAAAGAAGCTGTTTCATTCACGTGATTAGAACCCCCCTGATCCGCTGATATCGATCAGCTGATCACCAGCACGTTACTGGTGCCGCCTCCACTGTGCCCTGAGTTACTGCAGTATTACTCCATGTAGTACTACGCAGTACCATGAGCAGTATTTACCAGTAGCAGCTCGTGTACTCGCAGTCCTCGCGACACGGTATGATGTCTTCAGTCTTCATCATCACGTTTCAACGTCGGCGACCGGCCGGAAGCACGCTCATGACGTCACATCCAACAAGGCCCAGGAGCTTTCAAGTTAAAAGCCCCAGAGTGGCTCACAGTGTATTCAAGTACTGATGCAAAAGTATTCATAGATTTATTGAGTACAATGTAATTAAAGAAGTTTTTAACACAGACATAAAAGTATTTGTTCCAACACACAGCAGGTTAGTCCACATCAAAGAAACCCAAAGTGAACAAAGTCCCCCAACCTGCTCAGAACCAGCCCACTCTTTACCTACAGTCACATCAGTGGATTTAATGACGCCATGCAACGCTTTATCTTCATACTATGAACATTTTCAGAGTCAAAGGCACTTGAAATGTTAAAATATATACTCCCTTTATTAGAAAACAGTTTAACCTCAGAGTGGATCCTGTCTTATAACTTCTAATAACTTGTTTAACTGTAAACTAAATGTTATCATTCATCCTACATCCACCCAACCGGTGGAGGCAGATGGCCGTCCCTCCCTGAGCCTGGTTCTGTCGGAGGTTTTTTCCCCTGCGGGGGTTTTCGGTTCCGTCCCACCAGCGGACTGCTGAAGCTTATAGAGAATCCAGATGTTTGGATTGTTGGGTGTTTCTGCCTTTGTGAAGCGCTATGAGATGACTTGTTGTAAATATGCGTTATACAAATAAAACTGAATTGAATTGAAATGTCTACAGATGGTTCTGGTAGGTTCTGGAGGTAAAACGGTCCTTCATCATCTAGAACTGGTTCTGACCAACCACCATCACACATGCTGATACGAGCCTGGAAAGTTTACCCAGAATGCACTTTGTAAAGTTTCCTCTGGTGACTGATCAGAACCAGAACCACATCCAGGGTACCAATGATTGTTTCTATAACTCTGTGTCATAGACATTAGACTGGTACCACTATGAGACATCCCATAATACTGATGCTACCAGCTGCTTTCTGGTGATTTCATGTCTTTTGGTTGTAATGTTTCTTCTTTTGTGGTAATTCTGTTTTTTTGTGGTTTTGTGATGATTTATGTCTTTCTGTAGTAATTTGGCTTCTTTCTGTTGTCATTTTGCATCTTTCTGGGCCAATCTTGTGTCCCTATGTGGTCACGTTCCCTTTTTAGGGCAGTTTGGTGTCAGGTTCTAGCAGAACCCAGATGTGTTCTTCCTCCTAAATGTCATGTGTCTATCTGCTGTACTGATGAAGTTCTGAGGCTCAGAAATGATGGAAAAAGTCCATTAAAAAGTGTGAAATTTGAATCTAAACCTGGATTCTGGATCACCATTTCTGATTTTGGACTGTGTAGTTAAGACCCTCAGTCCAGCACACTCAGCTCTTACAACTGACTGTTTCCTGTCAGACATCACCCATAAAATGATTGATTAGTCAATATATCGGCGCTGCAGCAGGCTTCATGTGATCTGAAGCTGCATTTCACACAACACAGTCAAAGAGTTGGAAAATTTCAGTTTAATAAAAACAAACTACAGAAAGTCACGAGGTATCCACAGCTGGTACCACAGGCGGGCTGGTACCACAGGCGGGCTGGTACCACAGGCGGGCTGATACAGGCGGTCCACCTGCAGGATCGGTTGCCGGGCAGCTTCAGGTGAAAAGGCGAATGGTGGCGTCGGCTCCAGAGGAAAAGATCCACGGCTGCGTCGGGTGAAAGGTCACGTCCAGAACACCAAGGTCATGAGTGATCACATGACCTCTGAGCACCTTCACCGGGACGATCAGCGGGTTCTGCAGCAGGTCGCTGGAGGAAGGGGAGGGGCGTTAGCGTGTTCAGGTGACCATCAGCTGATCAATAGGCTGTATTGGGTGTATTAGTGAGTCTTACTTGTAAACTGTCCCGTGACAGACGATCACTGATCCGTCATCAGACGCCGAGGCGAACAGCGGGTACGATCTGTGATAGGCCACGCCCCTCACCGCCCTCTTATGGTGTCTGCAGCGATCAATATTATTAATATGATCAATATGTCCACATGATCAATACCCCGACATGATCAATCCATAAATATGATTAATACTGTCAGTATAATCCATACCATCAATACTATTAGTGGCACCAGCACTACGAAGCACCATGAACCATCAATAAAAGAGTGAC